AAAAAAGAGGATATAACCTAGAAACTATGTATAGAATGTGGCAAAGTGATGCAAGGCTAAGTTTCAAGACAAGCGCCAATCCCAATGACGTGACTACCTCTGTTCACATGCAGTTAAATAAACTGTCAAGTGTACAGTATAGCTATAGCATTGGGTATGGAACACGCCCCGGCACCAGTAGTTTCCTACGCAATTATAGACACACCAACAAACATTGGAAAAATAAAAGAACACGCGGCAGATATGTAACTCCAACACGAAGCCCTCAAAAAACGGGGATAACACGATTTCAAATAAATGGAAAGAACGCGCCTTGGAAGAAGGGGATATAAATCCTACAATTACATCGAAAAAAAAGAATTCAAGGGGATAAATTGGGACGAGGCGATCTAAGCCGATCTACAGCTGCACACCGTCGTCACCACACTCGTCGTCTCGCACCCCAATGAAGGTAGGCGAACGAAAGAGATGAAGGCGAACAAATCAAAGAGAAAGAGAAAGAAAACAATGGGGATGAATCTACTAATGGCTGATAATTTCCTTCAAAAAATTCAAAAAGAAAATCCAAGCTAGTAATACACTTGCATCCTAGATATAACTATGTACATTCTGAAACACGCGCTCAACGGGGGGAAGGAAAGCACGAGGAGTACGATACGCTAAGGTAAGGAGCAAGTTTTGAGTGAGTTATTCTCCACAAAAACAAGAACAAAAACTTAAAATCATAAGGGGGAGGGGGGATTCAAATATATACGAAAAGCTGTGTCTGTTTTTATATAAAGATAATTGTGTGCGAGCGTTCGATGTCGGGCGGCTATAGCCAGTCCTAGCTAGGTTTTCCTCTCTCCTTCCTTCGTTTCTCATGCATTTAGACCGCCAACTGGCGTCGCCCAAATCTTCTCGAGGTCCTTGAGAAGCATGGACGAGTTGTCATCCTCCTCAATCAGTGATGATGTGAACGTCGTCGTCGGCTTATCAAATGGTGGTAATGTCCAACCACCACATCGCGATGCCCATGGATCGGCTGGTGTACGCGAGACAGAGCCGAGAACCTGTAAATGATATTTTCAGAAAAAATTTGCCCAGATCAAATAATAGTCACGCACGTACAATTAGACTCAGATTCGCGGAAAGAAAAGAGCCGAAGCAGGAACTTTGGTTCGGGCAATTACCAGAATGTGTTCCAAAATTTCAAAATAATGCAAAAGTTAAATTATACATAACTCAAACATTTTTCGATTAATTTGAGAGGGCTGGTCCCGTTCAGGTCACGCGCCCCCTCGGCTGAAGTTTTTAGGCTGACACCCTAAAGACAAACCGAATCAATATCTTACCTTGGCTGGATCGAGTCCAGAAAATGACAGATCCTGGATAAATTTATCGGCATTAAATCCAGGCAGGATCTGATCACAAAGTGGTAGCGAATCTGGTCGAGATATGGTTGTTGCGACACTATTGCGATTGTTATTCACATTATTTGTTGACGTTGCTGTGTTCGTGGTTGTGGACGAGCTAAGTGTAGGTCGGAAAGGGCTATCACAACCCATTGTTAGTCCACTGAATGCGGTGTCAAGACCGAACACATCCTGTAAACATAAGATTTAGT